GGTGCATCATTTTTGGAAATCCGTCAAAATTTGACAGTTATTGACTAAAGTCTATACCTTGTTGACTATAATAGAAAAACAAAAATTCCTGTTGAAATTTCTAACCAAAATTGTCCAACTTAACATAACCTGTCCTACTTTTTTTTGGAACTTTGATGGCCTAATCAGATTTTCCTTGAGTGTTTCCGTTTATAGGTTAGAGGGCGATTTAGGAAATCTACATTTTTTGGTCCCCTTCTATACCTTATACCTTCGAAGTTATTAGAAATAATGTTGCTCCAATAACTACGTCTAAGATGATTTTGCGAAGAATAGTTCGTGAAAAATACAGTGGCGTACTCATTTTTATTTTCGGGGTATGGTTTTGGAGATATGACACAAACTTACACATTCTTTAAATGAACATTTCGTTGAATTCATAATTTTTTGTCTTTAAATAAAATGATGTATGATTCTTTATACATAGAAGGTCCAGAAATGCTGAGAAAACACTAAAATATTGAGTTATGATTGTCTTTTGTGAATTGATTGGCACACCAAAAAAAAAACGAGATGTGTGGATATGTAGTAGATGAAAAGCTTTCAGTTGATGAGCAATATTGGGTATAAATTATTCCAAAATTGTCAAGTATTGACTAAATTCAATAACTCTAATTCAACCGATTTCCAAAAACGATGCTTCAAAATGAATGGTTGGAACTAGGGTCAAAGGATTATGATTATTTTTGACAAATTCTGGAAATTCAAGAAGGCAGATCGAATATGGCGAACGAGTTCATTAATTATACAAGGTGATTGTAAAATAGGTGGCCAAACATTGGGAGTATATAGAGTGAGTGAAATAATTACGAAAACCTCGGTAACATTTTCTTCTGAAGTGCCCCCCCAAGAAAGATACAGCCCCTCAAAGGGGGGCCTCGGAGAATGATTTCGTACTATTATCTCCAACACCTTGTATGATGAAAATCCAAAATTTTGTTTATCCACTAACTATTCAGTGCCGGTTCGAATGGAGTAAAAATCACCTCAAAATTAAATACAGGGGTGTGTCAAAACAGGGAGGTAGGGGGTAAAAATAACCCCAATTTTTTTGTTCATCGCAATTTCAGTTTTTTTACATGAAATAATGAAATCTCAGGGCTATTAACATAGAAAAGGAGCTCTTGTTGAATCTCGATAAACTGAACCATTAGCGAATAAAATTTATTTTTCCAAGATTTCATTTAAATTGCAATTTTGGTATGCACTTAAGTTTAATTATCTAGTTATTCAAATCTTGCAACTGAATTTTCAACTTCTTCTAATCGTCTGATCAACTTGGAATCTGGATTTTTTGATAGAAAAAATATGGCGGCTCCAATGTGGCTGACCAGATTTGTGATTATGGTTCGATTCGATTCAAATTGGTTTGTAAGTGTTTTTGGGGTTGGAAATTTTGAATTCGTTGTCGGAATTCATGAATTAAAAATAGACGACGAGTTTCGTGATTATGGTCTGATCCTATTGAAAATACTAAAATAAGAAATATTGTTAAAAACAAGCTTTTTTTAAATTTTATTCGCGAATAGTTCATTTTATCGAGATGCAACAAGAGCACCTTTTCTATGTAAATAGCCCTGAGATTTCATAATTACATGTCAAAAAACTGAAATTGCGATGAACAAAAAAGTTGGGGTTATTTTTATCCCCTACCTCCCTATTTTGACACACCCCTGTATTTTATTTTGAGGTGATTTCAACTCCATTCGAACCGGCACTGAATAGTAAGTGGATGGACAAAATTTCAGATTTTCATTATACAAGGTGTTGGAGATAATAATACAAAATCTTTCTCCGAGGCTCCCCTTTGAGGGGCTGTATCTTTCTTGGGGGTCACTTCAGAAAAAAAATTTACAGAGGTTTTCGTAACTATTTCACCCACTCTATATGCTCCCAAAGTTTGACCACCTATTTTAGAATCACCTTGTATATGGATCGATTCTATTCAAAATTTGTATCGGGTTGGCTTTCGGGGTCGGAAATTATGATCCCTCCGTCATAAGTAGTACATTCAAGATGGCGGATTCAATATGTCGAGCAAATAAATAGTAGTTTAGAAAACTAAAGAGATAGATTACCGGAATGCAAGGAATAAGTAGAAAATTAATATTAGTTTGAACAACTAAGAAAATACGCTTCAGTGGTTAGTCAAACCATACAGTAGTTGGAAATAAAATTATAAGGAGTGTGTTGTTAAATATGGAACTGAGAAAATATTTTCTAGAAGTAATGTTACATAGCAAAACAACATTTGCCAGGTCAGCTATAATCAATAAAATGACTCGATATTAATTCAATATTCGCGTACAGGGTGGGCCAAATTGGACACTTTTGAAGGGAAAGTCCTATTCTCGAACCAGATGGAAGAAAACTGATGTCGGTGTCTGAGGGTCGATTCTCATGAAAAACTCAATGGTGGAAACCGCATATCCATATCTGTCTTCGTTTCGGAGTTACAAGGTGTTTTTCGAAAATGGTCATTTTTGAAAAGTGGCTACAGATAATTCTTTTTAGCAACAATTCTCTGATCCCATTGAAATAACTGAAAAGCATTGAGTTTGTGATAAAAATTGTTCTCAAGGCACTAAAATTCGGCCTTTCCATATCTAGTTCAAGAATATAACTTGTTCTTCTCAAAGGATTCATTTTCATGACAAACACTATGCTTTAGAAATGTTTTCATGAAAACGGAGAATTTTTGCAAAAAAAAAAGACAGCCTCTATTCAAAAATCCACATTTTCGAAAAACACCTTGTAACTCTGAAATAAAGATAGATATCAATATGCGGTTTTCACCATGAATTGATCAACAGGCACCGACATCAGTTTTTTTTTTATCTTGTACGGGAATAAAACTTTCCCTGTACAGTCTTTCCTTCAAATTTATTTTAGTAAGTAGCTTAGCAACGCGCGCAGGGTACAGCTAGTACCTAATAATATGAATCACCCTGCAGGTTCTAGTTCCATGGCTAGCGTATGTGGGGGTAGTTTGGCTTTGATGGACGCCGGGGTGCCGATCATCTCCCCCGCTGCTGGGGTCGCCATGGGATTGGTCACTCGATATGATGCGGCCAATAAGGAAATCGAGGACTACTGTTTGTTGACCGATTTATTGGTGAGTATCTTACTGATCCACTCTAATTTTCCGTCCAAAACCTGTCTTCTCAATAGTGTGCAAAAATTGCTGTAGATAGTTTTTGGATGTATGATAAATTGATATTCATCGTACAGGACGTGGAAAGAAATTATGAATTGAGAAAACCTGATCACGAATCTGCGATTGAGGTCTATGAAAATAACAAGTTTCAATCGTTCAAGTTTGAACCCCTTGATTGGGTGGAAGTAATGAAAAGGAATATTCTCAGATATAATTATGAACATAAAAAAATGGATATAATATAAAGAAATACATTGAAAATTTGCATTCTCTATGTGATGAAAATATCAATTATTTCTCGGTTTATTCAACAGAAAACACCAACTTTCCTGGCTTTTTGCCACGTCGAACATTTATAGAGCAGACAAGTTGTTCCCCCTTCCCGAATCAGAAATTGACATGTCCGAGCATTTTTTCGGATTTTCGTTGTAAAGCCCTAAAGTCGGGGTGTAAAGTTTCCGTTGGACCACCCTGTATGTTTAATTGCATTTGTATATGGATGGCTCAATTCATGTAGTGCAGAATATCTGCAATAAAATTTTGACAATATAATTTGCAAAATTGAACTTGAACTTTTCAGGGGATAGAAGATTATATGGGCGATATGGATTTCAAAATTTCTGGTACGAAAAAAGGTATAACGGCACTACAAGCAGACATAAAGATTCCAGGATTGCCTTTGAAAATTGTTATGGAAGCAATCCAGCAGGCCACAGAAGCAAAATCGGCTAT